CTCTACGTACACACTGCGCGTTGAAGACATGCACATATTATGTGAAATGCAGTTACGTGTTTTGAAGTAATGAAAGTGAAAAGGTACGCCGTCGACACAATCTAATATATAAATTGGTGGCAATGCCAGGTAGAAAAGGGCGGCTAACAACAACATGACACAGCTGTTCGTGACTGTATTTTTATTTTTCGGCGGCACATGATTATAATTTTTAGTTTGAAACTTTTCTAGTACATTATATATTGCTAGCGGGAAATATATTCTACAAACAGGTAACCCATCAATCAACGCGGAAGTAGAATTATCTGAATAATAACGTTTTGTAACGAGAATATGTGGCACTTTCTCGCCACAACGAGACTGCATCGCTGTTATTTTTAACTAGCTCGGCTCTGCAGTGGAACATTAAGGTTACGGTCCCCTGCAACTCCAACTGCTGAACATACTACTAGTATGTTGCTAAGTCTATACATGATGTTGCTATGTCTCTTCTCGTTCAATCGGCGGTGTGCCACAATTACGTCTACTACGGTAACTGCTCAGTGCGGTTTCTATGGCAACAGTGTATGTTTACTTAAGTAATACATACTTGAACAAACAACAAAATTGCACTAGAATGACTCGTGCCTGGAGTCGGTATATTATACTGACAAGGGGGAGATTCGTCGCCCTACCCAAATGTCTTTGCTCATAATGTTTTGTTTATTTATGCTAACGTTATGCGGCCATTAGGGGTAATTCATACGTCATTATCGCTTCGTCGCCACCGGTGTGGCGTCAACCCTTCGGGTCAAATGTCAGGGTGGTTAAGCACTCCCGATTCGTTGAGTACCATTGTATTTTCAATGTGTGTTGATTTTACCGACCATCTTAACCAGAATTCATGCATGGCTGACCATAGAAATGCCACTTTTTGTTCCAACTTCGTGTAATACAACACTGAACATCAGACAGTGATTACAACTGTTTCGGCCTCGCTGGACACCGACAGGTTTTAGCCGTGGCTACGTCGCAGCCCTTGATCGGCGTCGGCACTCATAGTCTGCATGAGTCTCATTTCTTTCGATTCTTTGATTGGTCAATGTCACGACTGAATATAAACCAATAGAGAGATAAATAATCATTCGTAACCCGACCAGAAATATAACTTGTCCGGTTTTTCTCGTGAATTTAGTACGCAATAAAATCGGCTTACTCATGTAACCCAACGAGTTTAACATAGTGGATATAATCAACAGTTGACTTGACGAACTAAAAGTTCTGACATCGAGCTGAGATGATCCAAATATATTATATGATACTATACACTCCACGTCTTGTTCCACTTGCAAAAGACTTTCAGCTAAAACATCTAATTTTGAGCTGACATGGTCCGAAATTATTGTAAGATATATATTCAGCAATTTGACTTGACGGGAACTTTCATCTAAAACATCAGATTTTGAGCTGACATGGTTCGAAAATATTGTAAGAGACTACATATTTAACAATTAGATACAAGGAGGGCTTTCCGCTAAAATTCTGATAAAGAGTTGACAAGATCCGAAAGTATTGTACTAACAATGTGCAAACATCGAGTCAATATCAGTTTTGTTTACAGAGGACTTGCACTTTAAAGACGTGGTTTGCAGCGAGGCTAAATGTTCTAGCATATAGCTGAGACGACCTTAACAAAATGTTCTGACTATGACGTTATTTAATTAATAACTGTCATCAATTTATTAAAAGTCAAAATATCGTGGAATGAAAAATGATTGTAAGGTTTCACGTGTTAATACGGGGTATGTGCATATTGGATTACGGGGGGGGGGGGAAGGGGCGTTCCCAAACACTAATTACGTGCCGATTATGAAGGCCGTCATTTCCTCGACGTGGTTCCCGGTTGACCACTGGAAACTAATCTGGGAATAAAACTCTCGCAGAGAAAATTCCAGAAAATTACGGAAAAGATTCAAATCATTTTAATTATTTCCGCTACCCCCACAGATTTGTAAATGGTCAGCCCCTGAACTCGTAATACAGGGGTAAACGCACCGGAAACGTTGGCGGGAGAGTTATCTCAAACAGGGTATATAAATGTGTGGGAACATAAGGGGACGGCTACTTCTGTTGGCTGTGAGTTTGGTTCGTTGAGAAAAGGGCGACTGTCAGACAGCCAATTAGTGTTTGGCGACCATCCCACGATAAACGACACAGAGAAGCAATACCTCAGAACCTTCACTGCAGCTGCCAGGGGCAACTTGAAAAAGATTGCAAAATGTGGGGTAATACGCAGACGATAACTGGCGGAGAGATACAAAATGATTGGTTCTTCGATGACACGTGCGCACATAGGGGTTCACTTGGGGAAATAATATAATTCACAGAGAGCAACTTACAGTTGAGATTCCCAATGAGAACTCTCCATCCGACGATATTGCGCCACCCTCCCCCTTGAAATTGGTCGTTACCGAGGCCATTATCAGAGCGCTGACAACATAATTGCCAGGTACCACGTGACCGAATGGTATGCTGATTGTTATCAGAGGGCAAAGCACAAACAACAGAAGTGCATCCCCGAGGCAAATAGTCAGCCAGGCTATGAACAGAACAGAGTGTAATGAATACACACAAAATGGCTGACTGGATCTCACAACATCTGAGGTCAAAGTCAAAATTGTCCACTCATGTGGAAGATGGTTGGCGAAGCCTTACTCGGTCATCTTGAGCAGTAGCGAGTTTTACGTATACGTACGACCAAAGTAGACCCATGGAACTATAAACCCATAGTTCCATAGTAGACCCAACTGTAGATAATTATTTTTTAATAAAGTTACAGAGCTAGTGTTCTGAATCTTAAATATCAATATAATCGCTCTTTAGATGTTTAAAGCTTTTTTTTAAAGCAGACTAGTAGATATGTTTTAGTTTTTTAAAATTCAAATACAGTCGACACCGGGGAGCGAGTCGGTAACAGGACAGCTATTGTATGCACAACGTGTTATCCTCTTCGGTCACGGTGGTCGTTCCCTCCCTTCTATTACATGTAGAAGAAAGATAAAACGTTGTCATAAAACACGGGGTTAGGGGGTCATAGATCACGTAGCCTACTTCACAACAGAAGAATCTGTAATCGCTGCGGTGTTGTATTTGACTCCATAAAACTCGGCTTATAAAAAGCCGCTCTTTTTGCCCATTCATCGGAGGAGATTTTTATGAGCATTTTTAAATATACAGTTAAAGACAGTTGTTTTCGGTGTTTACGAACGGACATTGCTTTGGTCGCACGTTAAGATTGAATGGACCAAATCTTCTTGTAGTTGCATGAATGAACTAATGACTGATTAAACGTAACTATCTGTTCTATTAATATTTGTTTCTAAACTATATCATAATGTGTGACGCAACACAGTAGGTAAATGGTTAAAAAGATGCCAAAACATCGATCAAATGTCGTTCATGTACTGGCTTCTGGGAATAATACAGCAACTGCACTGGGAGTAAGAAACAGATATTCGGTTTGATATTCGATTAGTACTGGAGAATACGTCGGCTTGATGTAGATGTACGCGACACTTCCAAAAAATAGGATTTTTTAGTCATTTCAACGCAAAATGGTAATATTCGTTTTAGATAATATCTTGAATTCATTAATATTTGAAAGTTTCCAAAATGAAAAACTTGTAAATAGTATTAGAGCTTTGTGAATGCAAAACGTGACAATAACAAATTGACATAGTGTTAAAACTGGCAAACTTGAAATGAGGAAAATATACACTCATGACATTTACAGTCCCTAATTGGGCCATCAGCGAGCCACCCAATGAGGTAAAAACCAAAATAAAAAAAAAACATGATTTCATCATTAATAGAGAAAAAACGCAATCTGTACACGCTGAATTTCAGCTGCCGAGAGTTTTTACTATTTCACAATTTACTATCATTCATGGCGAAAAAATGCAATTTGTAAATAGTTTAATTTTCAGAATAATTTTTTCAAATTGATGATTTAATGGAATTTGTGGACGTATTGAAATTTTCAATGCTATGAAGTTTTTTTGATTTGCCGTACCGTATTAAATTCAAAATTCAATAGAATTACAGTATTGAAGACACTGTACCAATTTTGTGTTCGTTACAGACGTCAGATTAACTATGTTTTTAAAATGCAAACACCAATAATCGAAAAAGCATGAAAAGTTAACAAGGGCAGTGATACGATCACTACGTGTAATATTGAATATCGAGAGCTGTAAATTACAGAATATTGAGGAAAGCTGTTTTTTTGTAAATGTGGTTAGTTTCTGGCAGGATTTAGCAAAACTCAATTGATTTAGCCACCTTTTTTGTATTTTGGCCCTGACCCCAATTCAACCCAAATCTGTTTTACACAACGGAGGAACATCAACACTATAAAAACACACTACATTCATAACATACACATAAAATACTTGCATGCCTCAGGGAATGTTTACTTTGGAGAGAGATAACTTCATGTTCTTTTAAGTTCCACGGACAATTTGCATATTAATTCAATGTGCCAATTACAAGGACTTAGAACTTACAAAAATGGAGGACCCAGCATCCAAAAATAAAACTGAAAACCCCCTAAAAAACAAACAAACAAACAAAAAATCCATCTTCAGTATCTTCTTAATTTGGCATTGCATCTTGGGATACTGTATTTTTGGATATTTGTAACTCTTCCAAACCCATGATTCCTACCAAAAGTTTGGTACAGCATCTTGCACGTTAATGTGTTTTTTTTCTAAAATGCAGAAATCCTAATAATCTTGAGTCAAATGCAAATAATTTATCATTGGCTAGATCTCTTGATCACCATTTGTTTGAAAACAAATTTGCAAGACAGAACAGTGTGCTTGCCTTATAGGTTAAGTGAAAACCATACCACATTCATGAAATGAACCTCACTACCCAGCCTGCTTTTACCCCATCCTTCATGCATTAACTCCCAGCATGCATTTCACATGCTCAACGAATAAAATCAAATGAAGAAATAGTTAGTTTTTAAATTGATATTAACGATTTTATTCAATAAGGATGTTTGTTCGTCTTTCGCTTCATTCCTCTTTTTTTAGTTCAGTTTGTACAGAGCAATATATAGCTGTACAGTACAGGGTAATATCGTACATTCAACGCTGTTCTGTACCAAATACTTTCTGCCAAATTTGGAAAAAAAAGATCGTATAACTTCACATAGAATATCTTCTTGATATCTAAACAAAAGGATGATGATATATATGAATCCTTGTCTACAAATGACTCGGATATATATATGAATCCTTGTCTATAAATTATTAACATTGGCTCAGTCAATATAACTTGAGAATTTCTCACATATGCTCAAACTCCTTTTTTTTTTATATATATCATATTTTCTCTATTTGTAGCACATCTCCAATAGAAATGCACATATGCTAATATGACTTAGTTTTACCATAGACACAAAGCTGTCATTTACATAAGCAAATGTGCTACTAATAGAGTAAATACAGTATATTTATAATTGCCAGAAAGTTATCGGTAGGAAACAGGTCAAACTTTTTGAGGAGGATCGTTTCGTTGGTTAGCAAAGAGGGCGCCATAAATTATTATGATGTAAAAATGAGACTTATTTACATGATATAATATATATATAAAATAAAATATTATATTAAATCTAGGTTTCTGGAGGTGTCATCGGGGCAAGTTGAAAATAATTTCAATCCAACAAGGACAGGAGGTAACAAACTGCCGAGAATAGCACGGCCCCCAGCCTTTGACAAAGCTGATCCTCACAGAGTTTGGATCGTACGGGCCGTCCATAAGTTCAGGGTTTCTAGTCCTTCGTAGAAGTTCAGATTTTTCATAATCAAAGATCCTGATCGAGTAACCAGGAGAGACTTTCCAGACGGACAATGTTCTAGAGTTTGGCGTGTCCAGTGTCGGTGAATTCACAAACATAGCGTGGTTGCTTCTGTTATACGCCCAAACACCGTCTTGTTCTCGGCTTATAGTCACTCCGTACCCTATTTTAGTTCTAGTTCTAATGACAGACTCTGTCCGACATTCACGATCTAAAAGTCCGAGGCACAATCCATCGCCGTGAGGTAGTTCCTGAAAAATGTTTGCAGACTGGTGGTTAACTTGATACAACCGTCCAACCCGTGAGCGTAATTCCCAATATGCCACGTTGCACCAATGTATAGGTTGGGAGGCACAGTGTGAATCCTTGAGGTCTATAAGCACAAAGAGACAAAAAGAACGTTAATCATAAACAGTGCTACACACAAGAACATCATGAAACAACATACAAGAACATTGTGAAAAACCCACTAGAATGTTGTGAAAAACCCACTAGAATGTTGAGAAAAACCCACTAGAATGTTGTGAAAAACCACACTAGAATGTTGTGAAAAACCCACTAGAATGTTGTGAAAAACCCACTAGAATGTTGTGAAAAACCCACTAGAATGTTGTGAAAAACCCACTAGAATGTTGTGAAAAACCCACTAGAATGTTGTGAAAAACCCACTAGAATGTTGTGAAAAAACCCACTAGAATGTTGTGAAAAACCCACTAGAATGTTGTGAAAAACCCACTAGAATGTTGTGAAAAACCCACTAGAATGTTGTGAAAAACCCACTAGAATGTTGTGAAAAAACACATGATAACATTGTGAAAGTTGTGTTATTATGAAGACACAAACAATAAATTTGATTCAGGATTGGAACACAAAAATACTAATACATCCTAATTTGTTGATATAATTACATCCACAAATGACAAAAACATTTATAGACAAAATATGAAAATTAATATGCATAATATTTTGGTTCAAAGAACATCATAAACAAATGAAAAGCTATATTAATAATTTATTATTATTAAAAAGGGATGTTTGTTTTTTGCTTCGTTCCTCCTATTTTAGTTCAGTCTGTAATACTGTGAAATACTTTATTTTAGCTGGAATTAATTTTCGCTGAAAAGATCATTTGGGGTGTTTTGTATGGAATTTATTTTCAATTGATCATCCCTTCAATGAAAATAGTGAAAATTAAGTATTTTACAGTAAACAGTATTTGTTCTATTAGTATATGCATGTGGTTGCGTAATAGTAAAAAAAATTGTCTATAGACAAAATAAACCATATTTGCATCTTCAGGACCCTGAGTGAAACTAGCAAAACTACAAGACAGCACAATTTTCATCAAATTTGCAAGTATTTGTCTCTCATAAATTTCGCAGCATCACACTTGCAGCGTGAATTGCTTCAGGTAATCTTAAATTGCACAGTCGGATATCAACTGTTTCACACACAGTGCAACCTTTTATAGCTATTAATCAAGCATGTATCATATACGGTAAAATACTTTGTTTTCGCTTGGAACTAATTTTCGCTATTTTCGCTAAAGGAATGATTCATTGTAAATAAAATCCAGCGATTACACATTTTTCCTATATTTTACATTGAACTCAGAAATCAGTATTTCAAGTTTAAAGTTTTTACTTGAATGTGTAAGGTCAGTTAAATTGTACTTAAAAATAACAGAAATGAACACATTACATTTTTTTGACACATTACAAAATAATTACTGTAAAATAACTTTGTTTTTGCTTGGAATTAATTTTCGCTATTATCGCTGAAGGAATGATCCATTTTACATTCAATTTGTCAAAAATCAGTGTTTTTCATAAATACTAGTATTTTACATGTTATATGTTTACTCATTTGCATACAAACACACCAAACTGATAATGTTTTAATGTCACCTAATATATATTTAGAGAGATATTTACAAAATTACAGTAAACATTTCACCTCAATGGCTATTTTGACAGGTAGTTTTCACCTTTAGTTGAAATTTAAAAAAAATCGCATAATTATCTAAAAATTGCATGGTGGGTTTGGTGGATCAAAAGCAAAGCAAAAATATATTAACTGAAGGGAACTATTTTTTTTTTTTTTTTTCTATAATTTTCAACAAAGTGGCATAAAACAAATGAATTATGTTGTCGTTGAATTCAGGTGGTTGATAAAAACCCACACACAACAGTTCACCCATTACGGGTATACTTTGCTTGGTGTCCCCGTGGACTCCAAAGACGTTATTAGAATTCAACTGAGAGACGAAATAAATTCAAGTTCCTTTCTTTTCAAATATTAATCTAAACTCATCACCTCACATTGACCATTCTCAAACAAATAAACATAATTAATAAATAAATAAATCATTAAAAAAAATCATGGTACAACCACATTCATTGAAGGTCATTTTTTTTCATTTTTATATTTGTATTTGGTGACAAACATTTCCAAACAACTACTAATCAGAACATACCAACAATATAATATGATTAAGTAGCAAAGCTATAATGTAAAATAAATTTGCATAAATGCTAAAAATAACTTTTACAAGCAAATACAATTAACAATTCAATTCACAAATTTAAATCTGGGTCACCGGGTACATATTAACATAATTGCAAATGAACACAGGAGGCTTCTTGTTGTTGTTTTAAGGTCAACACAGAGAACTGACAGCCTTTTAGACAGAGTGAAGAAACACCAATAAAACACCCGACTTAAACCAACAATCCCCTGACCCTAATCACTGGGAAATTCCATCACAAAAGCTTTGCTTATGACAAGAAAATCTAACAGTATATTAATCATAGAACACTGGTATGTCCTTTGCCTACACAATCATGCCAACTAAAACATCTGTCAAATTGTTTTCAATCATTTCCACTTTAGTTTAAACATATAAAAAACTTTTTATCAATAGTTTTCGATCAAAATATAGAGTAAAATTGATGATATATGTTTACAGACTGCTCAGTAATAAAGTTATAAAATAACTATCACATTTGACCTTATCTACTTTGGTTTAAATATTAACCAAAATATATTAGCCGAACCTAATTTAGACTTGAGTGTACTACGTAGGTAGGTGTTTGTATTCACACACTTTTACGTAACGCTGCAATCAGAGAAGTTGCTCGAATACAAACTTTGGTTTTAGGGGAGGGGAAAAAGGTTAACCCAAACGGAGTGTATGTGTAGTCGGTTAAAAGGAGTTATGAACCATGTCCCACAGAACTTACCCACTTTAATGTACTAACGTTGAGTATACAAAGGTTATACTGGCATATAGTGTGTCTTGTACCTATCAACACTTAACGCACAGGGGGCACAAAAAGGGGAATGTTGAAAGCACTGGTAGTATTAAGTAGTCAGGCTCTCCTAAGTAAATCCAAAACTGTCGATGCAGAAAAAGGAACTAGACTTTTCGATCACAGTAGTAATTTTCTCAGTGTTTTTTAAATAGGCTGCCCCATATTCCTCGTTCTGAACAAGTTAATACTTTTTTCAGCTGCATGTACTTGGAATATGCAGAAGTCACCACTAGACACCAAAATAATCTATAAGTTTATAAACATAGAGTCTCTGTGTGATATGGAATAACTGCACCACCAGTTTTGGACGATACCCAAAAACATATTTCCTACAGATTATCACGGCAAGAAAACATACAATTTTGCAGTTCGTCAGATTTTTAAAAAAATTATCTTTTTGTACTTTTTACTATTTTTCCACAGAATTATCTGACCTAGATTAAGGTGGATGAACTTTTTACCCACGATGCATTGTCTAAAAGTGTTCCTTAATGCCAAGTCAAACAAAATACTTCAAACGCTTTGACATGATTCTTCCATTAGCCACACTCTAGATGAAATACAAACAAATAACTTGTCATTTTAAGCCAAAAAAGGTCAAAAATCTTTTCAATAACAGTAAGAAATGTAGGCAACGTTTTAGCCAAATTCGAAATTTCTAATTCTAAATTGTGGAATTAACCATATGCTTTAAAGCAGCCTTGATTACCAACTTAACATTCTTAGCAAAAAACAACAAAGAATAAATCACAGATTTAAATACACAAACAGTAATATTTATGAATCAACAGAGTCATAAGTTTATAGTAAGTAACCATTTTGAGGTCGAGGACTAATGTGATGACTTTTCTGTTAACAAGATCAGCAATGTTTAGAATAACCACCGGGTATACTATATGTGTAGTAAAGGAATGTAACTTGTAAATAAACTAAATAGCTTACTTTGACAAATGCAGCTCGGATTAGCACCCCTAGTATTGGAGAAGGTTTGCCCAAGTATTGGAAAAGGTTTGCCCAAGTATTGGAGAAGGTAAGCCCTAGTATTGGAGAAGGTTTGCCCAAGTATTGGAGAAAGTCTGCCCCAAGTATTGGAGATGGTCTGCCCCCAGTATTTGAGATGGTCTGCCCCTACCTTAGTATTAGAGGTGGTCCGCCCCCTATTGCAGTTTTAGAGGTGGTCTGCTCAAACCCAGTAATAGAGGTGATCCAATCCACGTGAGTATTGGAGGGCCCTTACGCCAGTATTAAAGGTAGTCTGCCCTAAAACCAGTATTGGTGATGGTCCTACCTCAGTATTATAAGTGGTCCGCTCCTACCTCGGAATTGGAGAGTCCCTACCCCAATTTTGGAGGTAGTTTGCCCCAAGCCCAGTAGTGGAGGTGGTCCATCCCTACTCCAGTATTGTAGATAGCAGTCTGCCCCTATCCCAGATTTCTAGGTGGTCTGCCCCTACCCCGAATTGTGGGTGGTCTGCCCCAAACCCAGAATTGTGGGTGGTCTGTCCCAAACCCAGTATTGTAGATGGTATTACCCTAGTATTGTAGGTGTACAGCATTACCCCTACCAAATTGAAGGTGGTCCCTTCCCACCCTCAGTATTGGACATTGTGCACTTGATATTACTGAGAGCTGAAGTGAAGGGTATCGTATGTAAACCCTCAATTAGTATTAATAAGCATAAACCGGGGAATGAGATGGTGATGAGAAATGGGGTCACGTAGCCCTGCCTAGAATTTCACCGGAAATCAAGAGGATAAACCATTATTTATGCCAAGAAATAGATAATTTATCATTATTTTATTTATTTATTTCTAAGTATGAAGAAATGGAACTGATATACATAAAAGCAGGGAAAGTGTGACACCATGAACATAACATCTCAAACTGTATTGCAGAGATGAGAAAGAGATCATGTACCCCAAAAAGGGGTGAATTACATTAATATTACATTTCAATACTAATTGATTACAGAAAAAAAATTTTGAAATAACTGGAACTAATCTGTCAACCACTGAGTCACCACAGCCCTGCAAGCTAACTTATATATGAATCAACAGACC